GCCAGATTGCCATGCTCCTCTTTTCCTCTGAGCCCCCATAGGACAGCTTTTCTAAGCCTCCTCTGCATTGTCCTGTCCTGCTGTTATATTCCTGCTTCTCCAATCTCCTGCTTTTATTGACAGTTAGTAACGCAGTAACTTTGTAGTCATTGCAAGATAATCATATTTCAGAGTAGAGTTAGAGGTACAAAGGAGGTGTTTGAGGGAGCCAGTTTTTGCTATTTATAAAAAATGAAAAGATAGGATGAATGAAGATAAAAGCTAGTCAGAGGAAAGGTGCAGTCTGTTCAGCCAGTACCAACCAGTCCCGTCTGGTAACTGGAACAAACTACGAAGTGTACCATACTGCTTTACTCTCCTGTCAACACAATCAAGCCACCTGGTGAGATGAAGCTGTTTGTGTTTTCCAACTATCTGCTTCTATAAATGCTTGACATTCTTTCTCAAGTTGTATCCTCTTTCAGTTACTGGAGAGATGTTGTTAATGTCTGTAGTATTTGGGAAAGGCTTATTTGCATCAGCTGTACATAGCACTGCAGCATTGCATGTGCAAAGAACTTGAAAAATGTTCCATTCCTCTTCCTAAATCACTGAAAAAAACAGGATTTCGAACTCCTAATGTAACAGATCCATCTGTTTCTAATCTCATTGTTCTGGGTACTTCCTCCTGGCTCACAGACATAGAGGGGAAGTCAGTGATATTTTCCAGAGGGTGGAAATTATTTTGTCATTGCTACAGCCAGTTCCACTGCTTTCCTCTAAATCACTCCACAGCTCAGGGCTGTTGCCTCAGCCCTCGTACTCATCAGCCTTAGTTCCCAATTCTAGAGAAAAATCTGAAGAAGTATCTGGGCTAGAGAGGGGGTTATTATTGATAAAGTTCAACTTGTTAGCTCTTTGCCATACTCACTCACTACTTTAAATGGGCAGAAGTACAAATAACTCACTTATTATCCCATCTTCTCTGAAAGTTCAGACAAACTATCAGGTTTCTCTGCCACTCAATGTCAGTGTTAGCCACTGATTGCCATTATCCTGTAGAGTTAGGGAGCAGCAAGACCCAACCTGCCTGTGCAACAGACTGGTCTAATTCTAAAGCACTTTTTAGACCTGTTCGTCAGCAAGGAAAAGCACTGAGCCTCTACCTTGTTGGGTCAGCCCTCCATACCCAGATTCAGCTGATACAATGACTCCTTGCCTTTTACAATGGCAGTTCCCCAAAGCTATCACATAGCAATACCTATCAAGTTATTAAAATGGGTCTTTTAGGAAAGAAGACCTAGTGATTTTTAATCTCTAATGCTAGTGCTTCCACTGAACAGATACCCAGAAGCAATCTTCTACATCAATTCTGTGACATTATGGAAGGCAACGGATTTTCTGGAGTGACAGAAATAAGCTTTATATTTATGGCTTTTAAATAAAAGAAATAATAAAATCAAAATCATCCTGCTAATGTTTTTGAAATATATTTCACCTGCAGAAATTTTCTCTGTGAGTCAAACTTGAAGGAGTGTTTAAGGTGAAGTAATTTCTAGCTCCCAGGAATATTACATCACTTTTGTCTGTCTACAAAAGTTTGGGCTCTGACAAAGTTAATACTCTGGTTAAAAGGTTCCTGCCCTTAACACTCTATTCCACATCTGAGGATCCCATTCCTTCCTGCCTGCTTAGCTGTACATGTTGTAATATGTTCACATCTGTAAAAATAATCCTGTTCCTTTCACATCCATACACATGGTACCATAAGGATTTGTGCTAACCTGGGTAGTCCTCACAGAAAGAGAGGACTGAAGGAAAAGTCACATGTGAAGTTAGGCACACTGCAGTTTTCAGAAGAATCAATGATAAACACCTTGTCCACATCAACATACAAGGTACTATACTCATGCAGATCATGCTTATAGGGCAATTTCCAAGACAAGGCAAGCTGAGTATATCTAACATATAAGTAAGATATCGCAAACAAAGCAGGGTGATCCTAAACCATTCTCATATCATTTTCAGTCATCTAGTCTTTTTGTTGCCTTATTCTGCCTTTCAATTAACTAATTCATCCTACTGAAGAGGCAGAAAACTAATCTAAAAATATAATAGAAAAATAGATTTTTCTCTGCTGCTTCAGTGAGTTGAATCAGCATACAGGCATCTAAGCCACATAAGGGAAGAAACAGCATCATGCAGCCAGGAGCAGCAGAGAGAAAATCAGCAGACCCTTTCGAAGCAGTATGCCAGCAGATCACCACTCCGTGGCATCCCATTCCAATAACAATGAATAGCCTGAAAAAACACCTGGCCCTTTGGCCTTTCCACCCAGGTAGAATTGGAAGTCCAGAGAGGTACATTTTGCAATAAAATAAAAAGGGGGACTGACTTGTTTACAAAGTTTCTTGACATTTCTATTTCATACAAACCCACACAACCATTCCTAGAGCTAATCACACTTAAGCAGGCAGTTCCACGATTTCAAGCACTTAATCTTTATTATAGTTACTGTCACAGTAGACATAGTCCTAGAGCTGAGCCATCTTCAGCCTCTGAATGGACCCACAGTTTGAGTGAAGGAGTAACAGCCTGAAGCTTTTCCAGGACTACCGATCAGGCACCAAGCTAGTTCCTAGTCAATGCCTGACTCTGGGTAATACTCAGTTTCCCAGTTGAAGCTGTCTGCTGATAAGTTTTCATGCTGAAGTGTACTAAATAAGTATGCCTTTGCCAGTTTCTGATACATTATTTTCCAACATGACCGAGATCAAATCACAAGAGTCCAGCACCCACACATCAGCTCAAACCCTGTATGCTTTTCAGGTTTCGATACACGTGTAGTCTTTTTCCACAACAACAAAGTGAAATTTGGGATTTAGATTAGTACTACTCCTTCAAAACATCTCTTTGCACTCCTAACATGAGAAAAAATATTAAGACTTCATGTGTTTGATAACAAGTTGTGACCTTTGCTTTGGAATTTGGAGTTTGATTAAACCCACCTTGTTATGTTTCCAAAACCTAGTCACTTTTGAAACTTCAATTTAATAAGGTCTACTTATTATAAAATAAAATTATTCCTATGTTTCTGGCTTAGAGATATCCATCGAGACTATTAAAAAGTCTCATTAGCCTTGCTTCATTTTTTATTACTTTTTAATTACATCAGTGGATGAAATTTTAGCTAGTGAGTCAGAGTGGTTTCAATGCAGGGGTGGTAAGCTCATGAGGTGAATACAGCACACCAAGCAGTTCATCCAGGCCACAGCTCACACTTATCACCATCTTCCACAGTGTCCCTGAAGCGTGGAGAGGCAGCAAGCCACAAACCAGGTGATTACTTGGGCAGCCTGAACCAATCACTTCTGAGTGTCTCACAGACCTTCCACTTGCCTTCATCTCATCTATAGCATAAAGGCAAGTCCCACCACCATAAGAAAGATGCATGGTAGAACTGTGTATATGTGTCTGCCAAGACTGATGTGTGACCTCTGACCATATTACACTGTGCAGTGAACACAGGACAGAGTAAACCTCTGAGGAAAACACACACAGCATTCAGTGATGACTCATTTCACATGTACCTGGAGGTACCTGGATGTGTGGCCATATTGATCACCACCATTGGTCTACCCTGGCCTCCAATTGGGAGGCCTGGAGACACACCATCTATAACGCTGCTGCTGCTTTTGAGAACACACGCAGGATCACTCTCCAGGAGAAAAGACAACACAGAAAGAATCGCGTCTTGTCGATATCACCTGGGGAGTCTTTCTGCTGTGCCTTCTGCAACCGGACTTGTCTATCTCGCATTGGCCTTTTTAGCCATCAGCGCGCTTGTAGCAAGCGTGGGTAGAGCCCTTCTCAAATCTTCATTCGCGAAGCCTAGCCATGATGATGATGATGGATGTGTGACAGCTAAATAACGGGGCAGGTAGATCTTGAGAATGTGATATATACCACTTATCTGGCAGTGGAAGGGTCACACCTTTCCTTATCATACAGTTATCAGAAGTTATGTGACTGCCCAGGCCAAAAGCACAGGCACCGCTTCCTCAGAGCAATTCTGGTTATGGTAAATATACTGCTGCTCTTACCAGCACATCATTTTCTTTGCCTCTTTATTGCAGATATTCTCTATTACAGGGGAGAGTGGTCTGTATCTCCAAGATAAGAAGCCAGTCCATTTTATTGCATATTAATGAGGATCTGTACAAGGTTTCCTGTTATTTTCAAATATTTGACTGATAGTGAACATTCTTTACATAGTCAGGCAGAATGCCCATGGGACATGTGAAGTCTCTGTTCATTCCTACAAGCTACTTATGAAATTACAGAAGAATAAAATTGGCAATGAAGAAGAAAATACTGAAATAATATCTAAAGAAAGAAATACCATTGTCCTCCACTGAGTACTTGTTGATTTGTTACCTGCTTTTCTGAAGTGTAGTCATTGTTCATTGTCTCCCTTAAGGGAGAGGTCTTTCTTAAACCATGGAAAGACACAGGAACCCCAGAATCATTCACTAGTGGCAAGAAAAGCAATGAAGCAGCAACCAGCTCTGCTAAAGATACAGGTGTATCACATTACAAATGTAATGTGGCATCTGGGATAAGAATACATTGATAGGGTAAATTCCCACCCAAAAGTTCAATGGTTGGGAAACAATTACAGAGTAGGCACCTTCTTAGCAAATGATCAAATTTCTCCCAGTGCAGGGATTTCACTGGAAGATAACAGAGTTAATTCTGCATTTGGTATTACTTTATTGAAGCACTTCTGCCTGTAAGTTTTCTCATCATTATAATGAAAACCTACGCCTTGGGAGTATGTTTTAACCCATGCATCCCAAAGCTGTATTCAAACACTTTCCTGAAATGTAGTACCTGAAAGCAGGTGAGTTAAAAATGAAAGCCAGTTTCTTTCCTTCAGGATTGAATGTTGTTTTAATATCTGGATTAGGCTCTTCCACCCAAACCAATATGTTGCTGTTAACATTAAACACTTACCCTCTTAATGCAAACCAGTAATTTTCAACAAGAAGGTTACAGATCCCAGGAAGTTTATGAGCCATTGCTGGAGAGTCTGAGGAAGGTAGCTATTGTTAATAGTCTCAGAAACACCAACCAGACGTCAGCACCTCCAAGAGAAAAAAAAACAAAAAAAGGCAGTGTCCATAAATCTGTTGTCCTGTTGTTCACCCTGCTGAGGTTTCTATACTCCTCACTCACTCCTACTTTTCTGCTGGGACCTCTTAGTCCTGTGGCTCGGTCCCCCATTTCTGATCTGCCTCTTTAAACTAATTCCCTTCTACATTCAAATCCCTACCCTCTCCTTTAAAAATACAAAACCTTTACAAATTAACTACCTAAAAAAATTCTCTGTACCCTCCTGCCCTGAGCAGACAGTGTTGGCCATTCTAATACAGCAATTCAGCACCTCTTTGGTATGTGCTGCACATTTTAAAACAAAGCATGACATTTATCTAAATAACTGTAATTTCTTAATGACTTTCCCTCAGGTGTTCCTCTTCTGAAATACAGTTAGAGGTACTGAAGTGACTCTATAAAATGTCATGCATACCTGATTACTCTGCTTGTCTGCTTTGAGGGTGTTCTGGAGTTATTTTATAGTTTAATTGACATTCATAAGATGTTACATTTGGTGGAATGGCAGAGATAAATCAGCTGGAGGGGAGAAAACTTATTTCTAAGCTTCTGCCTACTCTAACAGGCCAACTGCCATGATTCTGACTGCAGGACTTACAGTTCCTGACAGTGGTCAGGCTGGACCTCACCTCCACAAGAACAGGTTGGGAGAGACTGCTAATCTTCCCACTGCCATCAAGTCATAGGAGAAAGGCAAAAACTGCTATCATACCACAGGTAGGAGTAGGTTGCTCACTGGAGCAAGACTTGGGAATGTGCTGAGGAAAAGCATGCTTTCCTCAGGTGCTGAGCAGAATTCCTATTTGTGCACAAACCCAGCCACATGTGGCTCATCAGGTTGAATGAGTCACACATAACAATAGCATGTGAATAATCCAGATTCCCAGAGGAACACATGTGAGCAAATACACAAGCCAACATGCTTGCTCTACCAGCAATTGTCCACCCTTATAAAACCCAGCTTGGAATGATCTTGTAAGATTATTGTTTAATTTCGTATGGTGCACATTGAATTTGCTGGACTAGAAGCAGATGCAGTAGTCATTGGGCTAGGTAAATTCAACATATTTAACATAAGAATAAAAGTTACAAATAAAAAATAAATTAAATAATTTATTTATAAATTATTTATAAATAAAAATATTTATTAAATAATTTAATACAAATAAAACTCTGGTGTCAGGTAAAGACATTTTTCTGAGTACATTTACATTTAAAAATGCACTTGCAAAATAAAAGAAGAGACTCATGTCATTACTTTGTGTTCCAGTCCTCCAGCGGCAGTAGCAGCACAGCACACCTTATAGGGCATGGCCTGGTTTTCACAAAAATCTGAAGTCAAAACTTTAAGCCTGTTTTTCTAAGTCTCTGCCAAGCTCCAAAAGCACCTGAGTTTATGACATGATGTTTTGCTTAGGATTATCAGTGTACACTGAGTTAAGGCCTAAAAATATATTACTACATACCAGTTTTTTGGGGCCCTTGCCTTAGTCAGTTTACTACATGGCTTTCCTCTGGGACAAAATCCAGACAACTTAGTGATGAAGGCTACACTTTCTGGGCACTCTTTTTTCCCCTTTATATCATTTGTTGCAAAAATTGGCGAGTGTTTAAAGGTGAAACAGAACGTGTCACAATGAAAACAAATGAATGTGGCTTTTTGCCAGAGTACTTCTGCAGTGCCAGCCAAGCCATTTAAATCACACTTTTCACTGTTTTTTAGCAACTGCATATTCCTCATCTTCCCATATGTGGCTTGAGATTGTGGGTTGTAATTTGAAGCACAGCTAAAGAGTCAGCTTGTAGTTGTTTTATATGGATGATTTACTTCGAGTATCAGCAGTACTAAACACTGAGTACTCATCAGAGTACTGGGCATCAGTCATAAATTAGTGCAGATAACAAAGAGAGGATACAAAAGCCCCATCATGTCATGGGAGTATTACAGAATAAATTCAGTAGGGAAAGACAAGAGAAAGAGTGTATTATGAAATTAATCACTGATTTCAGGGTAGACTCTTGTAGCTACTTAGTAACTTCGAATCATTCGATTTTACAGTCTAAGAAGTACCATTTTGTGTATCATTTCCTAGACACTTATCAAATCACAGCCTGGAAAGAACAGAACTAAATCATTACACCAACTCCTCCGTGCCTGTCACAGGTGTCTATCATATATCCACAGGCCAAGACTTCTGGACCCGAAGCACAGGTCTCTGTCGCTGAGCCAGACAAGCTGCCTTCCTGCCAGTAAACCAGCAGAAGTTGTTGCAAGACATTTGCTTTTTCAGGTGACGTTTACTACCATTACTGGCTGACAGGAAAGGTAATTCAGGAATAGCGGGTTCCATCACAGAAGAATGTGTTCTGACAGGTAGAACTCTCACCCACTTTTTTTGGATTTTGTTCACAATACCCAGGCCTTCCTGTCTGTCCCTATGCATGCGTAAGGCTTTCTGTAACAGCAGCTCCCGGTCACAGGACAATCCCTTTTGCCCATCTATCTGTGTCCTCTTCTTTCTCCAGCAAGCCTCTTATATCTGTCCCGCCGTACTTGCTAAGCCAGTCTCAGCTCTCCTCCTTTGCCTTCCCTCCAAGGTTACTGTTCTCCGAACACAGTCTCCCAACAACTCCCACATGGAATATCTTCTTAGTTTCTTGCTCAGATGTGTACCAGCTATTTTGTCTCCATGACTCTTTCCTCTTTGTCATTAGCTGCCTACCATTCCTTCTCTCATTCTCCCCAAATCCAAGGCCACACTACAACACTGCAGAGATAACCTTTCAAGAATATTTTTAAGGAATAAAGCAATCTATTCTTCCCTTAACATTCCTTTCAGAAATTCCTCAATCACTTGGCTGCTATCTGTCAGAGGTTTCCACCTCAAGGAGACATCAGCAATGGAAAAGTACAGCCAAAACTGTTAACAGTTCTCAAAGTTATGAGCAAATGATACACAGAGCCATAACAGGACTGTGAGACTTGACTTAACAATACACAACGCTATCTGTCTCTCCTGGAATCATACTAATATACAGGTTTAGTGCTTTCACTTAGATTATTGGCTTGAATAAACATCAATTAGTTCCATAATTTTAACCTTTAACCTTCACCTTCAGTGAAAAATATTGGCCCTGGTTACATGGAAAGGGTGGTCAGCTCCAACTTTCACACACAGACTTTGCTAAAAATACTTGCTAAAAATTCCACCCTTATGCATATGGTAGCTATGAGCCACCTGCAAATAAGCAGCAGACTTGTTTGCCAATGTTATACTGCTACTCTGCTATCAGATCCTTGTAAAAAACATTGTAAAAAGTACACATTTTAAGATAGTCATTTGATCCTAATATGTCTAAAAGTTACATGACCTGCCATTTCCAATATGTTTCTTGGGTTTGCCTTTTGACTATATGTAATTTCTTTGTGTCTTACTACAAACCTTTGAATAACTGTTAGTAGCTTAAGGCAACCTGAGCTATGCTGGAAAAGAAAGGTAAACCTACAGACATGAAATTCCCAGGCTTTCATTAAACAAAGACCGTACATGAGGTACAAAGATCTCTACTGAGTACAGAATGCTTTAAGTATTTCCTTCCAAAACCTTTGGAAAAATAATTAGACACTTCCCACAAAGTGTGCTTAAAAACATGAACATTCTGCTTGTATCTTATTTTCTTCTGAAAAAATACAGATAATTAAAAAGTTTCCTTATATCTCTCTGTAGTTTTGGTAGGTAAAAATTAAAAAATACAAACAAAACCAACAAAAACATAACATGCAACATAGACCAAAACAAAAAGTTGCAAAGAAGTTTTGGTTTACTCCTGAAGACTAAAAGACAAAAAATAAACTTTATGTTTAGTTCACTACCTCAGTTGAGAGGAAAAAACCTCTCATCTTTCACTTAATTTTTACTTCTGCTTGTCATCATGAAAGTTTAGAAGATACTGGTGCTGCTTTCTATCATTTCAGATTTCAACAGACAAGACAGAAACAGTGCAAGTAAAATGCCAGGGTCAGTGAACTCATTTTATAAATAAAAGTGTGAGCATGTACAATATATAAAATACGTGAGTTCATATTTGGTCAGATAACGTTCTTACACCTGTTCATTCAGGCTTTGGATCAAAGCACTTGAAGAGCTAGTGAACGATATTAGAACAGAGCTGGGTAAAAATAGATTTGGTCTTGTAACAGTATCAAAAGGATCTGACCTAACAGATGACGACATCTGATGGGGTAAATCATCTGAACTGGATGTTTCTTCATGTTTTAGGATTGGTTGGTATTATTCAGTATGCATAAAATAGCTGACCTCTACTACAGGACATATCATATTTATAGCCCATAACTTATTTCTTCAGTCCTATGTCAAGATTATGTAGACACTGATGAAGTTTAGTGACACTCATTAATAAGGCAATTGTGGCAACGTTCCTCATTTGCTCAAAACCCATAATGTTGCTTGCTGACTCAGAGTTTACATTTTGTTTCAGCTCACTGTATGTGAGATTTAGCAACTTGGCTGAAATCTCAGGATTTGTCTATTCACAGAGCATAGCATTAGTTTAATTTGAACACTTTCTCAAGCTAGTAAAAGATCTGGTGGGACGTGAATGACTCAAGAATTTCTTAATATTTGAATTACTCTAGATTTTGATCAGCTTAAGCTTTAGCAAGCCCAAGGCTTTGGTTCTGAGGTAGTAAATGAACTAGAGCACAATGCAGAAAAAAGCGATTATAATTACAAATCAGCATTGGGGGATCTCTTTTCCAGTTTCATGACACAGTTTCTAATGTCATCATTTTTGTAGTCTGTACTGCCAGAGTTTTCCATTTCTTTCTTCAGGAAAGATGAGTCTGTGCTATATTTTAAAATTTTGGCTATTTATAAGTAGAGCAGTGAAACAAGGCATTGTTACAAAGCTACATGTTAACAGCTCACCTACTCCTTTCCCTCCAGTTAGG